TAATGTGTTTTCATCTTTTGCATTGCCGCTCTCAAGGGCTTAGCCCTATCTGTGTGCCTATAACATTTCTACCTAACTCAGTTGTCTTTCTATAATAGTGTGGGATGGTCCTGGTGGGGGTTTTGGGGACTCTGTGCCACCTTTCTCTTCTTCTTCCTGGGGGGCGGTGTCTCTGGGTTGGCACAGCCCTTTTTGGTGCTTCCCATTCACAGTGCATTCTCTCTGTTCTGAGCCAGGCCCCCACTACAGTTGAGATATAATGACTTTTTTTTTCTTGTCTTTTTGAGACAGGGCCTCACTATGTGGTTCAGGCTGGTCTTGAGCTCACTTTGTAGCCCAGACTTGTCTCGAACTTGCAAAGATCCTCCTGCCTCAGCCTCCCGAGTGCTGGGGTTACAGGCGTGTGCCACCACACCTGGCTAAAGTTGAGATAAAGGCAGCCCTTCTGGGACCAAAGATTTCCTCTGCTGGGCCATGCCTCAAGACCCAAGAGCAGAACATGAGATAACAGCAAAGGTAGCACCTGGCAGGAGGACAGCTGTGTGTACCCTCGGCCAGGGTGGCCAAACCTATGTGGGAAATAAAAGGCATCAGAGGGTGAAGAAAGAGAAGAGCTCTGAAGAGATAAAGGAAAGAGGGTCCCTGGAGCCTCAAGTCAGGAACCCACCAGAGGAGGGCTCCGGAGAAAGCAATGCACACACAGAGCTTGACCGCAGGGGGCCAGAGATGAGCTGCCTTCGGAGAGGAGATGCCGAATGGGCAGAGAGGCCAAGATGAGGGGAGCTACAGGATGAGAGAGTTGAAAGAGAAGACGTGGAAGGTCTAGCGGGGGCACAAAGGTGGGAGAAGAGATACAGAACGACAAGCCCAAGTCAGAGACCTTGGCACCCAGGAGAGGGAGGAAAAGGAAGGCTTACAAAGTGGTGGTGGTGGTGGTGGGGGAAAGGGCCTCAAATCTGAAGGGACGGAAGGTAGAAGAGTGACCTGGATGAAACTGGCAGACTGTGGAGAGCACAGTATGATTCCAGAGCGAACGCAGTGGGGTACCTGCGGAGGACCGAGTCGGGAAGACTAGGAGTCGCAGGAGGCTGCCAGGAGTCAGAGAGAAAGTGGAGGAGGCACCAAGTGATGCCTTGGTGTCCAAGAGAAGAAAGATGACCAGGGGGCAGCTGAGCTGGGGAAGGCAGGCAAGAAAGGGCGGAAGGGCAAGGAGCGCTCAGGTAGCGATGGTCTGTGACCATCCCCTCCCACCCAGGTCAGGCGGCCTTCCTAGAATGGGAGGGGGGTTGATGACAAGTGGATGCAGTACTGCAGGCTGTTGGAGGCACAGGATGCCGTCCAGAAGGCTCGCCTGCATTGGCGATCCAGGGATATGGATTTTTGGCACTGGTGTAACCAGATCTTGGGTCCTTATTTTGGAGCAAGAAGATCGAAGCTGACAAAACAGCAAATAGCAAGTGGTGGAGAATGACCACATGAGTATTTATCAGAAAGAACAAAGGAGAAGCTCACCACTAGTCAGAGAAGGGCGTTCCATACAGTGGACACTGTAGATGTTTAGATCCACTGGGGTTTTGTACAGTTTTTGGGAGCAGTGTACATGACAGAAAGCAGGGATGCTCCTGGTCGCAGGTAGGCCTTTGAGGTCTGGAAAGCAAGCAGCTTCCTTTGCATTTCACTTCCTCCAAGGTCTCTCCCATTTGGTTAAGGATGACTTGTCTCTTGTATCTCATTAGGTCCTGATAGTACACTCAGTATTTAGTATGATAGTCCATCTTAGTAGGCCAGCTCACTTTTAGTTTACTTTAAGTTACCTATTCACTGTCCCCTATCTGCCTAGCCTTCCCTATCTCTTGGCTTCAATGGGGAGAGCTGGCTTTGATGATGCTGTATACCTGGTTGCTTTTGGTCAGATCTTTATGAGGGAGCTGTTGGAATTCAATTTTTCAGGTGAGAGATAGGTTCAGAGAATTTAAGTAATCTGTCCAAGGCCACACAGCTACCAGAAAGAGGAGCAGATAGAAGCCCCCAGGCCACCCCCCTGTGGTGTATCCTACAGGTGGGCACAAGCTGCAGCGCTAGGTGCAGCAGATGTGAGGTACACAGCCAGGGTGAGAAAAAGGATATGTACCAGTTCATTCATTCTTTTTTTCTGTTTTGTTTTTTGGTGTTTCTTTTTTTTGGTACTGGGAATCGAACTCAGGACCTTGAGCTAGCCAGGCAGGCGCTTGTGCAGCTGAGCCATATCCCCGACCCTCATTCATTCTTTTTATTGAGATGATGATGTTTGAATATATTGGTAGAAATTACATTATTGAAATCAAATTCAGAGCTGGCCGTGGTGGCACACGCCTATAGTCCCAGCAATGGGGAGGCTAAGGCAGGAGGATCGTCGCAAGTTCGAGGCCAGCCTGGGCTACAAAGTGAGCTCAAGGCCAGCCTGAACTGCATAGCGAGACCCTGTCTCAAACAGACAAACAAACAAAAAAAAATCAAATTCACCCGTTTCTTTTGAAATCTGACTTCTCAACAATGTACAGTAG